TGAAATTGACCTGCCGATTATCTAGCCCTAGTATAGTGAGCAGGCTGATGATAGAGAGGCAACCAGGCGTGCGCCAGACCCAGCCAGAACCTTGGGCCCCCCAACTGTGAAGGACCCACTGAATAAAGCCATACTCATGAGGCGGTGTATAGTACCATGCACTGCACTGTGCAATGGGAGCAATCCCTGTGTATAAAGGATAGTAACCCTTTGTAATATGTGCAGCAATTACGTTTTCCCAGTTTGCTTTTTGTCTTATAATTTTGCTTATAGTATTTTCATCATATGTAAGTGTAAACTTTTAAAAACTACTAAATTCTTTCTCACCTCAGTCAAAATTACTAAATTCTTTATTTCTCAGCTTCAGAGTTTTATCCCATGCTTAGAAAAGCCTTCTTCACTCTAGGACTACAAGAATATTCATCTCTGTTTTTTTCCTAGACCATTTACAATTTTGGCTTTTACTTTTACATTTTTTTTCCATGTTGAATGTTCATGTAAAAGAATGAGGTAGAAATTCGGCTTTATGTTTTTCCAGAGCTGGAGCATGTAAAGATGTGAACTCATAATCCCCAAAGAGCCTTTGACACAACTGGAATAAGAGTTAGACGTACTGAGATTGGGATGCAGTCTCCTCTGCACATTAGAGTGCTAAATTGAAGACGTTCAGATGCCAGATGGTTCTCTGACTCTCAGACATACAGTTCAGGGCTAGGAAGGTTACATAGAGAGTGGACGAGTTGAGACCTGAAGTTGTCCTTGAATGACCTTGACAGTTTTGATGGAGGAAAGGACAAGGAAGTGTTGAGGCAGAACAGCTTCAGCAGAAGTGTGGATGTAGGAGTAAGCAGGGTGATCAGCTAGAGTGAACTTGGCATTTCTGTTGTCTATCAAGACCTTGGTGTATATATATCAGGCTTTGCTCTGATTGTATTTTGTCTTCATCATGACCATATGAGGTATGGACTATATCATTTTGCCATTTTACAGAAAAGGAAACTGCCACAGGGGGCAGTCAGTTAAGGTGTCTGATGTTTCAGAACTAATTCTGTGGTAGGGCTGGGATTCGAACCAAGGAGGATAGTTCTGGAGGCTGAGAGAACCGCAGCCTTGCTAAAGTGAATGCACTTGGCAATGTGATGTTGAGTTGGACGGTTACCTTTAGGAAGATGGGAGGATTTGTGTTTCGGTGGAGAAGTCAGGATTGAAGAGGTCTGGCTTCCTCTAGCTGGTTCCTTCATCATTATTGCCTATAACCTCTGTCCTAGAAAACAATGAATAAACATACTGCAGAAATTAATGCTTTTCTTTATAGTGGAATTGATATTTGCTTTGTCTGCAAAAATATATTTCCACTGCATTCTTTGTTGATTCACAATATAATAAAACATAACAAACAAACTTTTTATCCTAAAATCAGAAAAGCCCATCCAGATTGATTTTAATTAAAAATGTAAGGGAAAGCATTTTTAGCACTGTGCCTAGCACATAGCAGATGTTCAGTGTGTTTCCTTCCTTCTTTCTCCAACTCTTGCCCTTCTGAAAGTCTACATGGCATGAGTTTTAAAGTAGACACTACAGTCATGAGTCACTTAGCAATGGGGACATATTCTGAGAAATGCGTCATTAGGAGATTTCATTGTTGTGCGAACGTCACTGTGTGAACTTACGCAGACCTACTTGGTATAGCCTAATACATACCTAGGCTACAGACCTGTACAGTATATTACTATACTGAATACTGCCGGCAGTTGTAACACAGTGCTAAGTATTTGTGTATCTAAACAAAGAAAATGTACAGTAAAAATACAGTATTATCTCATGGGACCACAGCTGTACATGCCATCCACTGTTGACTGAAACATCATCATGCAGCATGTGACTGTACTTATGAAATATTCTTTCAGTAAAGATTTCAAGTACTTGATATGCCTTAAACAACAGCAGGGATTTGTTCTTGATTTATTTCTGTAAGTAGTAGCACCCACTGATGGCAGCTGGTACTTTGAATTTTATGCATTCAAAGCATTTCAGAAATTGTATTACATATGTTTAATATAATATCCTATCGCAATGAGAAAAATTAAAGAAACCAGTAAGGTTTTAAAAATTGTGAACTTGGATGGGAAAATCGTGTTTGTACAAGAGGGAGGAGCTGGACCTATTTTCTTTTTAGCTTAACTTTTATGGACTACTTGTCCATTTGGACTTGTTCATCTTTGTTTATGTGTCCTGGTGAAGTAGTGGCATCAAGGGACTGGGACCTGCTCAGGACTCCTGAATTAGGATGCAGACTGTTGTGATTCATCTTGTACATCGTGGGACTAATTTAAGAAGTTAGAAAAAGAACAATAAATTACACTGAAGGAAAGCAGAAGGAAGGAATTAATGTTGGTAAAAATTACATTTAATGAGTTAGAAAACAGTATATAGATAATAAAGAAAATCAGAGGCTCACCTGGTCAAGAAGAACAGCACAAATACATAATATAAGAAATAAGGAGCTGCACCACAGACATATTGAAACGTAGTACGTGAAATGATGGATGCGTAGTTTCACTCCTTGTGCTACTGCTTTTAATAGTAAAGGATAAGAAACAGATGAACTGCCCACCAAGAGGGTTCTGGTTAAAGATAATGAAACATCCCATACAGTGGAAAACCGCAGCTGGAAAAAAAATAATAAAAACAAGGGCCTTCTTTACATATATGTTACTATAGAAAAATTTTCAAGGTACTAGGTAAAAAAAGAAAGGCAAAGTATTTAGCAGTATGTATGTTATGCTACCCATCTGTGTAGAGGAGGAAGAAAGAATGTATATTGACTTGAATATGCATTTAAAAATCTCTTGGAAAGGTAAACAAAAAACTAATGAGCAGTTACATGTTGGGAGAGAAGTGAACCGGGCAGATAGGGTGTGAAGGGGCTCCTCACTGTGTTTTTAATACTTATTGATTGAATACATTACCTATTTCAACAAACAAAATATATATTTTTAAAGTTCTTATTTAATCAATTAAATTTTTTGAGGAGTTATTTTAGGTAATGACATAAATCAGTTCTATTTTATGCAGCAATACTTAATTATGTACAACAGGCAAGTCATAGTTGGGAATAAAGAGATTGTATATGATTTTTGCCCTCTAGTAGCTGAAAATATACCTGGACAGTCAGCTATATTTTATAGCTGGACAGTCAGCTTTATTGGGTTGCTGTAAATGTAATTGTGTTTTTTGCCATTAAAAGTAATGGCAGAGAGGCAGTTCATGGATTAAACAGGGAAGGGAATGTGGGGAAACCTTGCCAAGCAGGTATGACTTAAGCTGGGCCTTGAGGGACCAGTAGGACTTCCGTAGCTGGAGATGGGGAAGATGGTAGACAGATCGGGATGATGAGGATATCCTTTGGATGGAGAGTAGTACCCATGCAAAGTCTAGTAGACTGGAGGGTGCATGGCTTAGTTCGGCAGTGGAACAGCATAGACACCTCTGGATGGCTGGACTATGGGCTATGTTTGTGTGTGCAGGGACTTTCTTGCACTGGGATGTTAAGTCTGTATTCAGCCTTCTTTTTTTGGTGGAAAGAGTGTAAATATATACAGAAGTAAGATAGGGTACTGTAGCATGAACTTCAACAATTGCCAGCTCATGGCTACTCTTGTTCTGTATGTATCCTATCCACTTCACCCCGTAACCCCTGCCCTATTTTGAAAGAAATCCCAGATAACATTATTTCATCTGTCAATATTCTAGTATGTAGCTTTAAAAGATATGGACTTTTTTTTTTTTTTTTTGAGACAGAGTCTCACTCTGTTGCCAGGCTGGAGTGCAGTGGCACAATCTCAGCTCACTGCAACCTACCCCTCCTGGGTTCAAGCGATTCTTCTGCCTCGGCCTCCTGAGTAGCTGGGACTACAGGCACACGCCACCATGCTGGGCTAATTTTTGTATTTTTAGTAGAGATGGGATTTCACCAGGTTGGCCAGGATGGTCTTGATCTCTTGATCTCGTGATCCACCCACCTCAGCCTCCCAGAGTGCTGGAATTACAGGCATGAGCCACCATGCCTGGCCAAGATATGAACTATTTTTAAAAATGTATTTTTATGTTTTAGAGAAGGGAGTCTTGCTGTGTTGCCCAGGTTTGAGTGCAGTGGCTATTCACAGGCACAATCTTAGCACATCTGGCCTCAAGTGATCTCCTGTCTCAGGCTCCTGAGTAGAGGGGACTGACTACAGGTGTGTGTCACTGCATCCAGCTGGACTCTTAGCATATCAGTTGGTGTACATATTTTCAGTGGACTCATAAACTGTCATAAATAGTTTTATTAGTTTTTATTTGTTTAAATCAGGATCCAAATAAGGTTCACAAATTGGAATTGATTAATATGTCTTTTAAGCCTCTTTAGTTTTCCCTTCATCTTTTTTTCTCCCTTGTAACTTATTTGTTGAAGGGATCAGGTTGTTTGTCCTATAGCATTTCCCACTGCCAAGATTTTGCAGATTATATTCTCCATGGTCTAGTTTTACGCGTTCTTCTGTTGTTTCTATTTCCTATAAATTGGTAATTGGATCTAGAGGTTAGTTTTTTGTTTGTTTTGGCTTGGTTGTTTTGAGTTTTTTGGGCAACATTGCTTTATAGCTAGTGTTGTGGCCCCCCTTCAGGGACACACAGTGTCTGGCTATCTCTCATTTCTCTGATTTTAGTAGCTAGTGCTGATCGGTGTTTCTATTTCAGTCATTCGTTACAGACTAAAAAGAATAAACCTGTGTGCATTCTCTGGCGACCATGCCATATTTATTCTTTGACTTCTTAGCCCTTATAAATGTTCTGTGCAGTAAATAATTTTTAAATGTGTATATAAAAGTAATTGGTTTCAAGTGACCTCCCAAAGCCAGTATCAAATAGTTGCAAGATGTTTTCTTGGATTAAAAATAAGCTTATCTCTTGTTCTAATGGATTTTCATAGCCTTGATTATTTGTGCTTTATACTTCATTAGATTGTTCTTCCGATGCATTAGAAGTAAGGCAGAGGGGAAACGCTGGTGTGGAAGTATTCCATGGCAGGTAGGAATTATTCATCTGTTTTCCAACCTGTTGTGTTAAGACTTTTAATATGCAGCATCACCTGAAAGTACCTTGAAGTTCACATAAACGAGTTGGTCTTCATCAGACTGTCTTGAAAGATAGTTTTCTTTAAGCAAGGTAGGCCCTGTTGGGACTTTAATTCAAAGAAACATTTGGTTGTAATCAAGATTAATTATTTGCATCCTATTTCACTTAGTAAATGTAAATATTTACTAATACAAATATTTATTTGAGGTCTTAAATGCAGTCAGCATTCTTTTACTTAAGAAAAAAATAGATTTCCTTGACTAACTCTTGTATCTTTTTATAGAGGAATTTCTACTTGATATTGGTATAAGCTCCTAGAATGTTCGAACTAGGAGGAGCGTCTCCTCTGAATAGGAGAAGCCCTATAGATATTCAGTACATAAGGAACTAGAACCAGGGAGATGATAAGACTTGTTTTGGCAGAGGTATGGCTTGAACTTACGATTCTATATTACCACAGTAAAATCTTCCTAAAGCCAAAATCAAAGCAAGTGTTTTAAGACAATTAGGTTTGGGGAAAAGTTCATCTTTTTTTTTTTTTTTTTTTTAAATTGAGACGGAGTCTCGCTCTGTCACCCAGGCTGGAGTGCAGTGGCGCGATCTTGGCTCACTGCAAGCTCCGCTTCCCGGGTTCATGCCATTCTCCTGCCTCAGCCTCCTCAGTAGCTGGGACTACAGGCGCCCGCCACCATGCCCGGCTAACTTTTTGTATTTTTAGTAGAGATGGGGTTTCACAGTGGTCTCGATCTCCTGACCTTGTGATCTGCCCGCCTCGGCCTTCCAAAGTGCTAGGATTACAGGCGTGAGCCACTGCACCCGGCCATAGTTCATCTTAAGAGAACAGTTTTTTTCTGAAAAGTATACACTGTGGCCATTGTGATTATAAAAGCTCTTTGCTTTGTCACTACTTTTCCTTGAGGTCTGGAAAAGCGTGATCATGGACAGAGAAGGAATGAAGCATTGAAAGTACCGTGAAGAAATGAGTCTTTTGTGGGTTTGGCATGTCATCTTTTCTAGACGTGGAAATGGTATCAAGAATGTTCAGAAATACTGGACTGCTTTTACTGTGTTTCCATTTCTTCTGCAGAATAATCCTAAGTGAATTAATGCAGGAACAGAAAACCAAATATCATATGTTCTCACTTACAAACAGGAGCTAAACATTGAGCACCCATAAACATGAGAACAGTAGATACTGTGAACTACTGGAGAGGGGAGGAGGACATGGGTTAAGAAACTATTGGGCACTATGCTCACTGCCTGGGTGTGATATACTCATATAACAAAGCTGCATGTGTGCCCCCTGTATATAAAATAAAAGATGAGATGAAAAGGAAAGACATTCTAGATATGAAGTTTGCATTAATATTTTATATGAAGCTTAATTATTTTGTCTTTAGGATCCTGATTCCAAAGAACATTCTGTCCCCAATAAGTCTCAGCATGCACCTGAGACATTTCATCATTCTTCCAACCAGCTGAGAAATCCATTCAGGGTACTTGACAAGAATCAAGAACCATCTCTCTGGAAACAGCTCATCAAAGGTGAAGGTGAGGAAAAGACGGCTGATAAGAAGCAAAGAGACAAGGGAGATCAGCTTTTCGATCAAAAGAAGGAACAGAAACCTGAATCGATGGAGAAAGATCTCTCATCTGGCCTGGTACCAAAGAAAAAACAATCTGTAGTTCAAGAGAAGCAGCAAGAGGAGAGAGCAGAGATTCAGTGTGAGGCAGAGGAGACTGGAGGCACACACACAAGAGACTTTTCTGAAGTTAAATCTCAACAGTGCCAAGGTAATGAGCTTACAAGGCCATCTGCATCTTCTCAGGAGAAATCAAGTGGTAAGAGTCAAGATGTCCAAAGAGAATCAGAACCTCTGAGAGAAAAGGATACCCAGCTTTTGTCTCAAAACATTCACAGTCACAGCTCAATAAGCAAGCCCCAGAAAGGGGGACCCCTCAACAAGGGGTACAAGAACTGGGAGGCTAAAGAAACAAAGGCAAAAGATGGCCCTAGCACACAGGCCACCCAGAAAAGCCTGCCTCGGGGGCATTTCCAAGAGCGGCCGGAGACCCACGGTGTGCCTGCTCCTGGAGGACCAGTGGCTCAGGCTGCACCAGCAGCACCAGGGCTTTCCCTGGGTGAGGGCCGCGAAGCTGCCACAAGCAGTGACGATGAGGAGGAAGATGATGTTGTCTTTGTTTCCTCTAAGCCTGGGAGCCCCCTACTCTTTGACTCGACTCTGGACTTACAGATGAAGGAGAACCTCCAATTCCCTGATCGAAGTGTGCAAAGAAAGGTATCTCCGGCCTCAGGTGTTTCCAAGAAGGTGGAACCCTCAGACCCAGCAGCCCAGCGTGTCTACCTTACAACACAACTGAAACAAAAGAAGGTAACTGTTGACTCGTGTTTTGTTTTTGAGGTCAGAGCATTGCTTGCTACGGGCAGATATGATATCTCATTGCTACAGAAGGGTTAAATATGTTCCTATGAAGGTTTTATAGGTGTGTGTTTAGTTTCTGCCTTTTCCCCTATTTATATTTTCAAGATTGGTAAGCCAGCTGGGTTAAAATTTTAAAAAGGTTCTGGTTTTTACACACATATTTAAAAGAGCATAATTTCAGAGTTTGGGCGTTTCAGGCTATTTTAATCTGAAACTATTCATCTAACAGTGTGAAAGGAGAGATCCATTTGATGGAATCTGTTTTGCAGAGCACACTGGCATCAGTGAACATCCAGGCTCTTCCAGACAAGGGTCAGAAGTTGATCAAACAAATCCAGGAGCTGGAGGAAGCGCTCAATGGTCTTGCCCTTTCCCCAGAGCAAGGTAAAGTGGCTTATGCCTCAGAACTCCGGGTTTGCGTGGACTTTACAAGAGACATTTGGAAGCCCTTTTAATAAAGAATGTGTTGATTCATTCACTTTTCCATTTTATTATCTGCTTCTGAGCCTTCTTTCACATTACACCTATGGTTCATAAAAAACCTTTCTCCTATTTCCTGTGGACTCTACTTTCTTCCCCCATTGTTTAAGCAACTGTTAAAATGCTACATTCTCTAGGAATCCTTCACTGGAATGGTGATGATCCCTCTCTCTTGACCTCACCTCCACACATACGATCCCTTCACTTAGTTTGCTGAACTTTAATCTGCCCTTCCCTTGTTTTCTGAGCAGGAACTAATGAGAAGAGTAACAGTCAAGCGCCACAGCAGAGTCACTTCACCAAAACTACCACTGACCCTCCCCACCTGGTGCCTCCCCAACCCCTTCCTGGTTGTGGTACCCAACCCGTGGGTTCTCTAGAACTAAAGTCTGTCTGCCAGGTGACTGCTGGAGGATCCAGTCAGTGTTATCAAGGTAAGACCCAAGGGCCTGACCCTGCTGTGAATAGCCACCCCTGTGAGTTACGTGCCACCTGGTACAGTAGTCACCTCTTATCCACACTTCCAGTTACCCTTGGTCACCTGTGGTCCAAAAAGAGGTGAGTACAGTACAGTAAGATATTTGGAGAGAGAATGAGACAGAAACCACATTCACATAACTTTTATTACAGTATATTGTTATAATTTTTCTATTTTGTTATTGTTAAACTCTTCCTGTCCCTAATTTATTAAAGTTTAAAATAGGTATGAATGTGTGGGAAAATAAAAAAACAAAACAAAACATCGTGTGTATATGGTTCAGTACCATCCACAGATTCAAGCATCCACTGGAGGTCTTACAACATATACCCTGTGGATAAGGAGGGACTACTGTAGATGTCTTTGTGCCCACATGAGGGGAGAAGCCATTCTTAAGTCATAAGTTGCCCATATAATAAAGATTGTGCAGCTCAGTAGAGCTTTGCATTGTGTTACTTAGCTTTCTGTGAGGGCACAGACTGTGTCTACCTTGTTCACCACTGCATGCTGATTAGTCAGCCCAGTGGCTTGCACACAGGAGTCATCCAGTCAGCATTTGTGGATGAAAACTCCTAGCTTGCATCATTATGAGGTAGGCAGACCTGCAGATATGCTCTTATTCCTTCGTGTGTGTAAGACCGAGGAGAGTGTGTGTGTGTGTGTAAGACCGAGGAGAGTGTGTGTATGTAAGTGTGTAAGACCGAGGAGAGTGTGTGTGTATGTAAGTGTAAGACCGAGGAGAGTGTGTGTGTAGGTAAGTGTAAGACCGAGGAGAGTGTGTGTGTGTATGTAAGGGTGTGTAAGACCGAGGAGAGTGTGTGTGTGTGTGTGTAACACTGAGGAGACTGTGTGTGTGTGTGTAACACCGAGGAGAGTGTGTGTGTATGTAAGTGTGTGTAAGACCGAGGAGAGTGTGTGTGTGTAGGCCATGTGGTGTGTATGGACAGGAAATGTGTGTGTGCAAGACCGAGGAGTGTGTATGTGTAGGAGTGTGTGCTAAGACGGAGGGGAGTGGTGTGTGTATATGTAGGGTAGCAAGGCCAAGGGGAGGTGTGTGTGCAAGTGTAAGACCCAGGAAGGTGTGTGTGGAGTGGCCATAGGGCCTGAGGAGTGTAATGTGCCCTTTACTAGAAGAATGTGTATAGGAGCCGAGGAGAGTGTGTGTGTGTATGTACAAGTGTGGCTATAAGACCCGAGAGAGTGTGTGTGTATGTGTGTCGCTAGGCAGAGGGGAGTGTGTAGACGAGGAGTGTGTATGGGCCGAAGTGTGTGTGTAAATTGTGGCGTGTGTGTGTGTATGTAAGTGTGTGTAAGACCGAGGAGAGTGTGTGTGTATGTGTGTGTAAGACCGAGGAGAGTGTGTGTAAGACCGAGGAGAGTGTGTGTAAGACCGAGGAGAGTGTGTGTGTATGTGTATGTAAGTGTGTGTAAGACTGAGGAGAGACATGAGTCAAGACTGAAGACTAATAGATCCACAGAGAGCAATAACACCCTATTAGCTAAGTGTTTCCTTCCTGAACTTTCTAGGCAACTTTGAATTCAAAGGTAACTGCAGAATGAAGATTCCAAGTAGAGCCTGAAATGTGTAATAGGATCAGTTGACAGGAGACTGATCAGGAAATAGGAGCTTGGGTTGGCTGGCAGTGACTAGAAAAGCAAAAGCCAGTTGCCTCCCAATAGAGAACTCTTAGAGAAGTGGAAAGTTGAGGAGAGTAGTTAACAAGGAGGGTAAGAAATAGATACAGGGCCATTTCTAGCTAAGTTCACTCTAAAGGGATAAACAAAACATGCTTGTGACATCTTTTAGGTAACACCTATTTGTACGCACGCCATGCAAACCAAGATCACGTTCACGCAGTGTGGAAAATCACAAGTGAAGCCATCGATCAGCTGCATCGCTCACTTGAGTCATGTCCTGGTGAGACGGCTGTTGCAGAAGATCCTGCTGGGCTGAAGGTGAGCCAGGGAAGACTCCCAGTGCAGTCCCCTACGACAGTGCTCCAGCAGCCCCATGAAACTGCTGACAGAGAGACTTTCTGAGATACCTTTCCTACAGATAGATGCTTGAATGCCTTCCCTTGCAGAATCCTCTCCTTTTATGCTTAACGGCCAAACAATAACAACAAAACTCCTTTTTAAAAAAAGTCATAAAGTTACATATTTCTGTAGCAGTAAAGGATCCATTTGTTGAGTTGGTAGGTGCCACAAGAATGTGAAAGAATTGCTGCTTGGGGCCGGGCACGGTAGCTCAAGCCTGTAATCCCAGCACTTTGGGAGGCCGAGACGGGCGGATCACGAGGTCAGGAGATGGAGACCATCCTGGCTAACACGGTGAAACTCCGTCTCTACTAAAAAATACAAAAAACTAGCCGGGCGAGGTGGCGGGCACCTGTAATCCCAGCTACTCGGGAGGCTGAGGCAGGAGAATGGTGTAAACCCGGGAGGCGGAGCTTGCAGTGAGCTGAGGTCTGGCCACTGCACTCCAGCCTGGGCGACAGAGCGAGACTCCGTCCCAAAAAAAAAAAAAAAAAAAAAAGAATTGCTGCTTGTAATGAACTAGTTGGGGTGAAAATACATATACTATATATATAAAACAGCAAAGGCTTTAAGACAGAAATAAGTTGTACCTTGTAATATACTATAAAGTACAAAAGGGATTCAGAATAAAGGAAACATCACTCTAGGTCAGTGGTTATTTGTTGTCTGCCTACTTTGTGCCTTAAAGGAATTGAAAGCCTTTAGATAGCAGAGAGGAAAGGAACGAAACACCACAATTAGAGGAGTGGTGACTAGTGGGAAGATAAAGAGATTGGTATTCAGAAGTGGTGATCAGGTGTCATCAGTACCTGAGCCAGCAGTAGCAGGTGATGTTACTGAGTAGGAGCCTGGCATTGGTGAAGGATTAGATCTGAATAGCTCAAGATATAGTGTAGAATCGCTGTAGCATTTAAGAGGGATGGCCGATGAGGATTAGTTTTTCTCACAAAGTACAAGGTAAACTGGAGTACAGAAGGACTAGAAGGGGGACTCTGGTCAAAGGGCTATTGAAATTTATGACCAGCAGTGCAGACTGGGACATTGGCTGCAGAAAGGAGAGGCAAATTTAAGAGACAATGAGGAAATGATGAAATACCAATGTAATGGCTGCTGAAAGTAGGGTCACAGGTCTTGGTTAAAAGCATAGAGCTGGGTGCAGGGGCTCACACCTGTAATCCCAGCACTTTGGGAGGCCGAGGCAGGCAGATCACTTGAGTCCAGGAGTTCAGGACTAGCCTGGCCAACATGGCGAAACCCCATCTCTACTAAAAATACAAAAATTAGCCGGGCATGCACCTGTAATTCCAGCTACTTGGGAAGCTGAGGCAGGAGAATTGCTTGAACCTGGGAGGCGGAGGCTACAGTAAGCTGATATCACGCCACTGCACTCCAGCCTGGGCAACAGAGCGAGACTGTCTCAAAACCTTCAAGGCAGCAAGCGAGACTTCCATCTCAAAAAAAAAAAAAAAAAAGCTGCTCCAGCCTGGGCAACAGAGCGAGACTGTCTAAAAAAAAAAAAAAAAAAAAAAGCTGTAGAGATGGATTTTGACTGATTAAGCAGACAAATCAGGACTCTCACTTGGGGTGTAGGGGGACTCTTAGTAGAAATGCCGAACATTAGATGCAACCCAAAACAAACAGGGGCAGACCAGGACAGTATGGTTGCATCTAATGTTAGGCATGTCTATTAAGAGGGTGCTGTTAAGGACTTCAAGGTGAAATGAACGGTCTACATGAGGGCAATTAGAATACTGAGGGGATCACTTGCAGAAAACAAGAGTAGAGTGTAGAGTTGGTGTAGCCAGGCTTGGCGTAGCCTCTCATTAGGAATTTATGCTTAACATTTGGTTATTACTTTTGTCAGGTCCCTTTGTTACTACACCAGAAGCAGGCATTGGCTTGGTTACTGTGGCGGGAAAGTCAGAAGCCACAAGGAGGGATTCTGGGTAAGTGTGGTATTATAAGAGCCAGCCTTTATTGAATGCTTAGGCATTGTGCTAAACACATAGTGTTGTTTTATTTAATTCTCTCAAGAACTCTATGAGGCAGGTACTATTATTCCTCATTTTACAGATGATGAAAGTGAAGCATGGAAGTGTTACGCAACTTGTTCAAGAGTACACAGTTGTAGGGTCAAAGATTTTGGTTGCCAGCAGCAGAAGCTGACTGGCTGATTAAATAGAGGAGTTTATTTTTTGGCGGCCCCCACAATCTCTGGGAGATATGGAGTGCCAGGCTCGAGGCCAATTTCAGGAGCCATGGCTACAGCCAACACACAAACAGTAGTCTATTGCCTCCCTCTTTTTTTTTTTTTTTTTTTGAGATGGAGTTTCGCTCTTGTCGCGCAGGCTGGAGTGCTGTGGTGCGATCTCGGCTCACCGCAACCTCCACCTCCCAAGTTCAAGTGATTCTCCTGCCTCAGCCTCCCGAGTAGCTGGGATTACAGGCCTGTGCCACCATGCCTGGCTAATTCTTTGTATTTTTAATAGAGATGGGGTTTCGCCATGTTGGACAGGTTGGTCTCTAACTCCTGACCTCAGGTGCTCCACCCGCCTTGGCCTCCCAAAGTGCTGGGATTACAGGCGTGAGCCACTACGCCCAGCCTAACAGTAGTCTATAAAAAGCATCATAGCTCCTTTGCTTCACCAAGTGCTAGAGGCAACCAGTGCCACCCCAAAGTCAGTTGTTTCTATAGCCACTCTTTCCTGCAGAAAGGATTTCACAGGGAGTCTCTTTCTAAAGCTGCTTATACCTGAATTAAAGACGTTTATGAGTACATCTGATATATAGAGCTAGGTCATATTGCTAGTGCCTTAGCTGCAACAGAAACCAGAAAGCAAGTTTTCCACTCTGCTTTGGGGACTTGTCAGGCTAAAATTTTCTAAGGTGTTCAATTTTCAGACGCCATGTCCATGTCACTTATAGTGGACATTTTCAGATGTCCACTATAAGTGACTGTGTCAGTGGTCCTCAAGACCACCCCCAGGTTCGATGATTTGCTAGTAGGACACAGCATATGGTCATACTCACAGCTATGATTTATTACAGTGAAAGGATATAGATCAAAATCAACAGAAGGAAAAGTCGCAGGGGCAAAATCCAGGGGAAACCAAGTACAAGCTTCCAATATCCTCCCAGTGGAGTCCCATGGGATATTCTTAATTCTCCCAGCAGGGAGTTGTGACAACAGGCGTTCAGTGTTCCCTAGGAAGCTCATTAGAGATTTAATGCCCAAGGTTTTTACTGGGGTCTGGTTACATAGGTGGCTTCAGCCTGGTATATACTAAGTTTTCCTGCTCCTAGAAGGAAAGCAGGTGTTCAACATAAACCATATTGTTTGTACAAAACAATTTAGGCAGAGTGATCAACTCTTACCTTACATCCGAGTTTCCAGAGGCAACCTTGTAAGCAGGCCTTTCAAAGGATAGCAGACAGGCCTAGGGGCCTGCTATGTTCATTCTTTTTCTGGACAGTAGCAGGGCCAGAATTAAAACCGAGCCCATGCTCTGACATTCTACTTCTGTTACGGCAGAATGGTTATTTTGAGTGGGTCAGGATTGCAGTCTGTTAAAATGAGGATAACAGTACTCTGTAGAGTATGAATAATAAATTAGATAAGCTCAGTGATTGGTACAACGACAGTACCGAAGAAATATTCATTTATGTCCTTTTTTGATGAATAAGTTAAGGGAATGGAAGGCTATTGTAACTCCAGGAATGTTCTGGTACTGGTAAAGTAAGTAGTAGGATATATCTACTGGACATTTTTTACTTTTGGAGGTAACAGATCATCAAACTGTAATAGATACTGCACATTGTGCAGGTAACACCATAACATAGGGTCTAGAATAAGATTCAAATGGTAAGTTTTAAATTTTACAAGACTCATAGTAAATGTCTTGGACCTAGATCTCAAAGAGCAAGTGCTAGGGTTCCGCTGAATAAGGAAGATAAAGGAGCCATTAAGGTAGGCACAGAGTAGTGACTGGAGTGGCACTGACAGCAGAGAGAACAACGGGTAAACGTCTGCCAGTGGTTTCTCCTCTTGAAGTAGGGTTGATTCTTTGCCCTAAGCAATTAACTCTCTTAATTTTGCTTTTATTTTCTAGCGGATGATATGGGCTTAGGAAAAACCCTGACAATGATTGCACTCATCCTGACCCAGAAGAATCAAGAGAAAAAGAAAGAAAAGGAGAAAAGCACAGCTTTGACATGGCTCTCCAAAGATGGTAGACCGAAGTGCCTTAATAGCCTGCCATTCCCTATGTCATTTGAGCCACCCAAGAGGGGAACGTTTTCAGCTAAAAAAGGATACCTTTGGTCATATTTAATTATTCTACTGGAAAATCAGTATTAGATTACTCACCTATCATATCATTTCTGATGCTGAGTATACTAATTATAAGTGATCATTGTTTCACTTTTAATATAAACTAGGCAGAATTTTATGGAGAAAGGTGAGGCTCCAGAACACTTAATTTAAGCATAATAATAATTCTTATTTTTGAGACAGAATCTCGCTCTCTTGCCCAGGCTGGAGGGCAGTGGCATGAACACAGCTTACTGCAGCCTCAACTTCCTGGGCTCAAGCGATCCTCCCACCTCAGCCTCTCAAGTAGCTGGGACCACAAGTGTGCACCACCACACCCAGCTAATTTTTAAATTTTTTTGTAGAGATAGGGCCTTACCGTGTTGCCCAGACTGGTCTCAAACAACTGGGCTCAAGCAATCATCCTGCCTCAGCCTTCCAAAGTGCTGGGATTATAGGTGTGAGCCACCATGCCTGGCCAATAATTATTATTTTTGTAAATATTGGGGAAATAACCACAGGGTAGATTCAAATTAATTTTTTTAAAGGAAGATCTGTCACAAATTCACATTTTAATCACTATAGTGGAAGCTATTTTCCATGTTTCTGAAATTCTAGAAGTTCTAGATTATAGACACTTTCTATCTTAGCAAATGTTTTTAAAATGTAGTAACTTTAGCCAGGCACAGTGGTATGCACCGGTAGTCCCAATTGAGGGAGGAGAGTCAGGAGAATCGCTTGAGCCTGGGAGCTTGAGGCCAACCTGGGCAACATAGCAAGACACTGTCTCTTAAAAAGAAATTAAATAAAAAGTAAGAACTTTACAAGTACTTTAAAGATTGAATATGTTATGTATAGATAATACTACATGTAAGTTGCCATGTATTTGAGTACAGTTCTCAGTTGCTTAGATCAAAAATCGATGGCATCTGCTCTCAGGGCCTCTAATGAGCACTGTTGCAGCTGGGTCCTATATTCCTTTGTGTGTAGTAGCAGCATGTGTGAGTAGCACAGGCATACACACGCAGAAATGAGGGGCCATGGTATAAACAAATCATCACTAATTGGTTCCAAACCAATGTTTGCTTATTTTTTAAAAAAGGTTTCTGTACTTAATTTTAAGGTAGAAGTACATACAGTAAGTTATGCTTTTCAGAAAATATAACAATACTCCATACGCCTGTATAATGAATCAACTCAAGAGGAGTTAGGAAATGATCCAGCTTTCACCTCCAGCCACTCTGAAAGCACATTCCTTTTTCACACTGAGGTCATGTGCCACCCACTTTCCTGCCCCTATTTAGCCTCTCTTTCTGCCTGTACTTTTAGCGGAGAAAATAAGTAATTAAATGTTTCAGTTTAAAAGACCCTTTCTTGGCCGGGCATGGTGGCTCAAGCCTGTAATCCTAGCACTTTGGGAGGCCGAGACGGGTGGATCACGAGGTCAGGAGATCGAGATCATCCTGGCTAACACGGTGAAACCCCGTCTCTACTAAAAACTACAAAAAACTAGCCCGGCGAGGTGGCAGGCGCCTGTAGTCCCAGCTACTTGGGAGGCTGAGGCAGGAGAATGGCATAAACCCGGGAGGCGGAGCTTGTAGTGAGCTGAGATCCGGCCACTGCGCTCCAGCCTGGGCAACAGAGCGAGACTCCATCTCAAAAAATAAAATAAAATAAAAAATAAAAGACCATTTCTTCCATTTCCTATTTCACTGTAGGCTCTGTATAGAAATAAGAGCAGTGGTTAAACATATTAACTGAAGGAGTAAAGTCAGTCAGGAGGAAGAGGTAATGCCTTTAAGTTAAAGGCCGGTCAACCACGGTGACTCATGCCTGTAATCCCACTGAGGGAGGGTAAGGCAGGAGGATCACTTGAGCCTAGGAGTTCAAGACCAGCGTGGGTAACACAGCCAGACCATGTCTCCATATATTTAAAAAAAAAAAAAAAAAAGTTAAAAGCCATTTGGTGTATGTAACTAGGTACTGATTTTTTTTCCCTTCTCAAGACTCTTCTGAGTTGACTTCCCATGGAACACTAATCATCTGTCCTGCCTCCCTGATCCATCATTGGAAAAATGAGGTGGAGAAACGGGTGAACAGCAACAAACTAAGAGTCTATCTCTACCATGGGCCAAACCGGGATTCACGTGCCAGAGTGTAAGTGCAGGGATACGCAGTTGTGGGGCCATTCAGCACCTCTGCTCAAGGGCCTGTGGGCCTTTACTCCCCTCCCGAGATTTCACTTAATCAGGAAGCATATTCATGAAGGCCAAAGACAGATCTTCAGTCTCGTCACCATACAGCCTTTGCCTTGTATCCTGAGGTCTATTGGTGATCTTTTGCTGTGTCCTTGTCATTGTCCTCAACGAAAGCTGCCCTGTGAGGAGGCCTGAGATGCCTGAGCTGCCAGTCAGGTGGCAGCAGCATTCCCCTAGTCAAAAGAGATGTTTCGCAAGGCCCTCACAGCTGCTGGACTTCTCATTCCAGGTGTATGTAGTGTGAATGGAACCGGCCCAGTTCTACACAGCATCTTGATAGAATGCTAATGATTAGTTGCTATAGGTTGATTATATTTTTATGACTTTTTAATATATGAACCATCTAAGATGCTTTAGACTCAATAATTTAGGATGATTAGAGCTAACTGTAAATTCTTGAAGAGGAATGCTCAGAAAGGAGGAAAGAAAATGCTTCCCCACATGACAGTCTTAGTCCTAGTCTTTGTCTTTTGGTTTTAAAGGAATTGTTTTCTGTTCTTAATAGCGAAGTGAAGATCTAGATTGAATACTGGCTGCTGTAGTGAAGGATGAGAACAAAGTTATTTTTGCTTCTAAGTAATTTCTCTCCCCAGCCTCTAATCTGGATATTTTATCTCCTAAAGAACAGGGCAGCAGTCTTTCAGGAGTAAGTTGTTAGATTGGTGCCCCTCTGTCTGTGACACACCAGTTCTCATGACTGAGAGTCGCTTCTGCAGGCAAAAGGTATCAGGGTGGCAGTGGCAGGCCTGCAGGCCTTCCCTGGCATAGATTACTGTGAGTTGCCTGCCTTTGGTCTAAATTTTTAGTTAGAAATAAATTGAATCTCACCTGATTTTTACTTTGAGCATGACTTGTTTGGTATTTAAAATGTACTAGTTGACCGATTAGAATCATTCTCAATTACACTTCTTTATATGATGCTAGGGTAACTTACAGACACTGCTGCCTCTCTGAATCAGGCATATCATTTTTATCAAAAGTATTTATTGGGGTTCTCTTAGGGCTGGACATGGTGGCTTATGCCTGTAATCCCAGCACTTTTGGAGGCCGAGGCAGGCGGATCACTTGAGGTCAGGAGTTCCAGACCAGCCTAACCAACATGATGAAACCCATCTCTACCAAAAATAGAAAAATTAGCAGGGTGTGGCAGTGTGCACTTGTAGTCCCATTTACTTGGGAGGCTGAGATGGGAGAATCGCTTGAGCCTGGAAGGTGGAGGTTGCAGTGAGCCGAGATCACGCCCATACACTGTAGCCTGGGTGACCACGGTAGGTTACTTACCTATCATATCATTTCTGATGCTGAGTCTGATAATTATAAGTGATCATTTTTTCCCTTTTAATATAAACTTGGCTTGATCTATGATTAGCAGAATTTTAATTACTTTATTTCCATAAATACTTTATTACTTTACTTTTGAGACAGGATAGAGTGAGACCCTACCTTGTCTCAAAAATAAATAAAGTATTTATTGAAGTTCTCACAATATTAAGCTTCACTGGAAAAAGATTTGTGTTTCTCGTTAAGAATCTTTGTATGTAACAAGTATAAGCAACAAGATACACTGAAAGCTTACAGCATGTATTTTTATATCCTAATGTCAAACTAGATCAGTGAATTTTCACAAATCCATTATAGAGTGGTGGAAAGAAAGCAGCATTGAAATAAGGTGAACAGTGCTCTGAGGGTATCTTTCTCCCCTGGACTTTGGTGTCATCCATCTCAAATCATGATTAAATGTTAATTCCCAACTCTATCCTACTTTCTGTTCTGGCCAGATCATATCAAGTATTATATTATCCTGGCCAGAGATTTTTATTTCTGACTCACTGGATGGTAAGAGGGAGGCTATGGTAGCTATAGAGAGCAGGTGGTAAATGATCAGAGGTAAAAGATAGGGAAACCAAGTGGGTAAAATTTACCTCCAAAAGTGTGTGTGTGTGTGTGTGTGTGTTAAGGACACGAGTTAATGAGTTCTGTTGTTTGTCCTTCCATTTGTAGGCATTTTTATTGAAAGATTACTCTGTCCCTCTCATTGTCACTCTATAGTGGGACCATTTATTGATTTCTTTGTTATGTCTATGCAGCCTCTCTACATATGACATCGTGATCACTACCTATAGCCTCGTGGCCAAGGAGATTCCCACAAACAAGCAAGAGGCAGAGATCCCAGGTGCAAACCTCAGTGTGGAGGTGAGGCTGGGGGGTGGCCAGGGAAGTGGAGTTGGAGCCACAGATGGTTTAATGGGAGTGTTTCACAGCCTCTGTGATAGCAAGAGGACCTCCCTGGAGGTCAGGAATGCAGTAAATGATCTGCCTGTGGAAAGGAATTGTTCTTTCCTCTATCCCATCGCCCTTATTCCAGACAAACACCTCAGTGAGAAAGGTCAGCATATGCCACAGGATTCACCTGCCTTTTAGAACGAAAGATGACTACATTGTATTTGTGGGGGTAATGATCACCTGAATATATAAAAGCCTCACTGGTTGCTATTTTTATTTTAGAGTATTTGATATTTTTAATATTGATTGTGCAGACTAGCATTTTACTACTAGTGTTTTGATTTTAAGCCATCATTCCCTGCCTCCCTTTATTTCCCAGAAAAAAAGGGTTGCAAATAATAGGGCTATAATGGGCCAGGGGCTAAGTGACAATTGTGAAGACCTGAGGGTCTTCTGGGGGTCCAGGGCAGCTTCAGTTATGTGATGTAGAGGCTTTATCATGGAATTATACTCTGAAAATACAGTGTCATCCCAAGAACTCATCTTTCCATATGTTATCCTTTTAGCCCAACAGGATATTCACAGGTTTCTTTATTTGGAGAGATCTCTAGAGAGAACATCTCTCCGGCTTATAATCAACTCTGACTTACAGGTGATGAAATTTTCAGATTCCTCACTGATTTTCCATTGCTTTTGGGATAAACCCTAAATTTCTTTTCATGATGTAGTTAGGCTTTGTTTATTTATTTATTTATTTATTTGAGGCAGAGTCTTACTCTGTTGCCCAGGCTGGAGTGCAACTGTGCGATCGTGGCTCACTGCAACCTCCGCCTCCCGGGTTCAAGCGATTCTCCTGCCTCAGCTTCCCAAGTAGCTGGGATTACAGGTGCCCGCCACCACACTCGGCTAATTTTTTGCATTTTTAGTAGAGATGGGGTTTCACCATGTTGGCCAGGCTGGTGTCGAATTCCTGACCTCAAGTGATCCACCCGCCTCGGCCTCCCAAAGTGCTGGGATTATAGGCATGAGCCACCGCGCCCGGCCGTATTAGGCTCTTTATGATCTTGCCCTACCTGTATGTGGCTCATCTCTCTGACACCCTGCCCCTCCCCAGGGCACCTCGTGTTCAGTCATACCAAGGGATCTGTAGTTCCCGCCATGCTCTGTCACAGCGTTGTGTCTGTTCTCCCTCCTAATGAAATGCTTTGCCTCCACTGCTTCTCCCAGGTTAATTTTTTTAAACCTGCTTCAAGAATCTTTTCTGGACCACTCCCTTCCCACCTTCCCCCAATTTGGTTGAATGCCTCTGTCAGCACCTCGTGCTTACATAAGTTGTAGCGCTTTGTTTCTTCAGCAGACGTTGAGTATCTGCTATGGGTCAGGTGCTGTCTCGTCAAGAGCAGCCAGATTCCCACTTCAGGTATTGAATTAGACAGTGGGACTTACTGTATCTACATCATATTGTAATTATCTTTACACTTGTTTTTCTCCCCTGCTAGATTTTGAGCTCTTGAGGGTAGGAACTATTTTTTATATCTGGCTTAGCATCTCACATCTAAAAGTAGACTTTTGGAAAATTTTTAGTAAATTTAGTAAATATTTTATTGAGTGAGTGAATTTGCAGGTTCAATTCCTAGTGTAGTCCTGGTCTACAGCCATTGCTTAAGTGTGGATTTAAAGAATAAAAGAAAACTCAAATTTGAAAACATTTTACTCTTAGCCATCTTATGTTCAAAGACTGAGACTCTCAAATGACTTATTTATTTGAACCAGTTGAGAGGTTTTACTCTTAGGTTTCTTAATTCTTATTTCAGTGTACCTGATCTAAGCAAATTTAAAGGTAAAGGTGGGTCCTCCATACTTGGCTGCTAGTTCCCCTTGTTTCCTTGAGGACATGTACATTTTCCCATACTGTGGCTAGATTTCACTTGTGATTCTTCCAGCGCACCTCAACACCTTTGCTTCAAATAGCCTGGGCTCGAATCATATTGGATGAAGCTCACAATGTTAAGAATCCCCGAGTGCAGACATCCATAGCTGTGTGTAAGCTACAAGCCTGTGCCCGTTGGGCTGTCACTGGAACCCCCATTCAAAACAACTTATTGGATATGTATTCACTGCTGAAGTGAGTAACTTCTTGTGATTGTGTAAATATGACTCCTGTCTGTATCCCTTCATTATTTCATGTCTCATAATAAAGCCTTAGTATGTGCCAGATTATCTTGTTTAGCAGATGGCAAGCCTGTCAACCTTTAAAGGACAAAAGAATAAATATTTATGAGAAAATAGCTGTTGATTGGTTGATATAGGACTTTGATTACATTCAGCCCTTATAAATATGCAAACATATAGGACAGCTTGAATTAAATTATTCTTGAGTCCAGTGAATGTTTTCGGCTACTTCTGCTTTAAAACATATGGTCTAGGGCCAGCACTACAATTTCTTTGAAGCAAACAGAAAAGAATGCTGATTTTAAATTATTTCCTTTTGGCTGAGTGCAGTGGGTCATACCTGTAATCTCCACACTTTGGAAGGCTGATGTGGGAGGACTACTTGAAGCCAGGAGTTCAAGATTAGCCAGGGCAGTAAAATGAGACCCCACCTCTACAAAAAAATTAAAAAATTAGCCAGGTACAGGGGTGTGCACCTGTGGTCCCAGCTGCTCGAGAGGCTGAGGCAGGAGGATCGCTTGAGCCCAGGAGTTCAAGGCTTCAGGGAGCTAGGATTATGCCACTGCACTGCAGCCTGGGTGGCAGAGTGAGACCTCAGTCTCTAAAGAAAAAAATTAAAAATAAATAAAATACTTATTTTTATTCGAGTCAGCCATAATAGGATGTGAAATTTCTTTCTTACCCCCTGTAGCTTGAGGAACAAATTCTAGCTGTTGGTTATATGTCTTGTTGTGACAACGTAAGTGTTGTTAATAGGAAAACTCACATTTTTATAATGTGGTTTTGTTATTGACTTACATCCTTTTGATCTGTCCAGCAGAGGTTTGCTATGAAATTCACTTTTTAAAGTGATTGGATGACAGATATAACAGAAAATCTGATTTGTGTTTCATCTTATATCTTACTTTGAACCTTTATTCCATTCTCCCTGACTTCTCCTTCCCTATTCTGTGCCCTTCTTCCTCAACAAAAAAGGTTTCTCCGTTGCTCTCCATTTGATGAGTTCAATCTGTGGAGGAGTCAGGTTGACAATGGCTCAAAGAAAGGAGGAGAACGGTTAAGTATTTTAACCAAGAGCCTTTTGCTGAGGAGAACAAAAGACCAGCTGGACTCTACTGGCAGACCTTTGGTAATCAAGTTTATACCTGTCCCTGGGGGAGGCCGGGAAGGAGCATGACTGTGTCCTTGTCTTGGGTTGAACAGCCATCTGCTTTGCTTCAGGAGCCTCTGAGTCTCCCATCCTCCTGTGAGGAGGCCCCAGGGTTGCAGTTCCTTGCCTAGTGTCACAGCAATCCAGTTGTACTGTATGTTGGAGCAGTCCTGTGTTTAAGAAAGGGTGGAAGCTGCATTCCAGGGATTGACTAGATCTGCAGTGTCAGTATGTGGGGAATTTGTTCTGTAATAGGTAATTTGTATAGCTTTATGCCAGCTTTTTTTTCGTTTGTTCTTCCAGGTGATACTGCCCCAGCGTAAATTTCAGTTGCACCATTTAAAGCTTTCTGAAGATGAAGAGACTGTTTACAATGTGTTTTTTGCAAGATCAAGGTGTGTGTATTAAAGAAGCACCTTCTCACACACACTGTTTTATTCCTGTCTTTTCTTGGGAGTGAGTCGAAGGTCAAATTTCCACAAACTTTATTTGTGGCATTATTGATTAGTTGGATATCTGTATTCCTTTTTTTTTTTACTCCATTTTTCTGCTTCTCCCCTCCCCAGCTTACCTCTGTCTCATACACACATGGAAGGCAACATTTTGAATCTACTCTTCATTGACTTCTTTGCATAGAAGTCGTAGGGTGTGGTCACCATATACTCAATCTGTCTGGTCCTCATGGGGCTGTACTGAATGATGATATCTCTTCGACATTTGACCTGTCATCCAGCATCTCACTGGAACTTTAAAGAGACTACTTTAATCCTTTGTGTCATCTGTTCTTTGCACTGTCTCTTGAACTCTTATCCTTCCCTGAATTCCAGATTTACTGTCTCCTATTTGGTACCTCTCATTTACATTTCTAATGTAAATATATTTTTTCTTCTTTTACACCTTATATTTATTAGCTTATTTTTTTTAAAAGATTGGTTTTTTAAAATAACTCTTTTGCATTACCTTTGGCCATTACTTCTTATGAGCTTGGCATCATTTAACAAGTCCACTTATATAATTTGTCAAGATCCCACTGCAGGCACAGTTAAGCAGGTCTTAGTGACCATTATACCTGCATTTTTTTTTTTCTTTTTAATCTGAGGCAGGTCAGCTCTGCAGTCCTATCTAAAAAGGCATGAAAGTGGAGGCAACCAATCTGGAAGAAGCCCTAATAATCCATTCAATAGAGGTAAGCTGTAGAACTCTCATAAATATATATGACTGATGATAATGGGGATTTGGATTCAGTAAAACACAGAAATGTGAGGTTATGAATCCTTGGTATCAGAGATTTGACCTTAACTAAGACCCTCAAACCAGAGTAAAATCTACTGATCTGCGAACATGAGATCTGATGTTTATTTAACTTCTTTTTAATGGTTTCCTAAATCTGCTTTATTAAAAGGCAGGTAGTTGTATAAGGAAAACCGATATTTCATTTGGCCTAATTGGCATGGAAGTGAGTGATAACTATATTATTGAGTCTGAGATCAAACACGGTTAAAGTAGCTCCATGTAGTTCCCAGCTCTCTCTTTATTTCTCTTTTAAATCCTGTACCATCCTGTGGCTTGTCTTCCCTCTTGGAAGTGGCACTGGAGTTTGGGTCCGAGGAGCCTAGACACCCTGAGGCAGCAGACTCACCAAGATCCAGCACCGTCCACATACTGTCCCAGTTGCTGAGACTCCGCCAGTGTTGCTGTCATCTTTCTTTATTGAAGTCGGTAAGAAAAGCCCTCAGCCTGCTGTCATGTAGTGCTCCAGAGGGGCCACCAAGAAGTCAGTTTCACTCTCCTGCAACTGGAATCCAGTCTGCTTGATCAAAGGAAATGCTGTGTTGGTTTTTCTATTTTTGTTTTTTTGGTGGGTTGGAGAAAAGGGGGCTTATTTATTTTGCTTTATTTCATATTAATCTCGATAATTCCTATGGCATCAAGAATAGTGTATTTCTATTGTTTATTTTGTTTAAGATTAACTGTTTAAGAAAGGAAAATGACGTTTTGTTTAAAAAGAAGCCTTTTGTGAATGCTCTGCTGCTTCAGAATGTTATAAAGCTAATTTAGTTCTTGGGGTTTTCTGCTTTCAGGCATTCTTGGAGTTATGGGTTCCAGTTATAAAAACTCAGATAGTTATACAAACTGAAAAGTTGCCTCTACATTGGATAGAGGCACATCCAAAATTAAGAGGAGTATTTTATTCATTTCAGGAGCTGTAATAATGTATTCTGATTATCAATATCTCAACTAACTATATTCTAGCTTGGAAAAATAGAATGATTATGTCATCTGCCTGGCAAGTCTTTAAAAAGTTCCATCATTTGGTTTATCTTTAATCTGGTGAAAACACTTGCAAGATCACACTTTAATCAAGGTGTCTTGAGGAGTTACTGATGACAAATGACAAGACATTTTGTCTGTGAAGTGTTAAACTATCAGAACATCATCAACAAGTAACAAGGTTTGCTGCCTTGACTTCCAACCGCTCCTGTCCTTTTTTATTTGTTCAGGCCCTGGATCCAATGGAACTGAAGGGTGAAGGTCTCGTCCTTTCCCTGGAAGAACAGCTCAGTGCTTTGACCTTGTCAGAACTCCGTGACTCAGAGCCGTCTTCCACTGTTTCCCTTAACGGCACCTTCTTCAAGATGGAACTTTTTGAAGACACGCGAGAGAGCACCAAGGTACTTTTTGTCTCCTCTATAGTAGTAGAGAGACTTCGATTCCTCACACATTTTCCTGTGTGATAGTACTTCATTTGTCCAAGTGGGAACAGCCATTTGCCAGCAGAGCTAGAGCCATCAGATTCTAGCTGATCGGATTCTCCCTCCAGTCTTAAAGCTTCATTTATTTCACAGATAACACTAAAGCCTTACTACATAGGGGGCTTTCAGAGAGTAATTTGGGACAGCCCCAGCATTGCACTGAAGCAGGTTTTCTGTCATGGGTCACCAGGGAGCTTGCCAGGTTTGTGCTAGGGACGGGGCCTATGCAAGTGAGCATTTGTTTAGGGAAAGCTTAAAAGGAAAACAAAGGCTTCACTCTAGAGACTGTGTCGTACATGTGAGTGCCAATTGCTCTGACTTTGAAAGACTTCCATATGTGAGTAGTGTTTCCTACAGAGCCTTCTATCTTCATTAGTCATTCTGCTCTGTTTTCATCAGAGCTTTTTAAGGCAGAAACATTCTGCTGGAGGAGGGCTGACATATGCCGTAACCTGAGTCCTGCCTATCTGCTGGCTTGAAATGTGCTTCATCATCCTGCCTGTCTTGAAAGTGGGGCTTGTTTCTCTCTCAGCATCTCAAGCTGCCATTCTTGGGCTCAACTTCTCTTCAAAGGCTTTTTTTGAAAAAGTGTATTAATAACTAGAAAGGAGGTCACTTCCAGGGGAATGGCATTATTTTTTAGAAGAAATGCTGCCTTTTAATTAATATTTTAAAACATTTACCTAGGTCTTTACCACTCATAGCTGAGAGAAACCTAAGAAGAGCATCCCATGGGGCCAGAACACACATGCTAGTGCCTTCAGAGTGAGCTACTGGGCTAAAACTTACATTCCTAATCATTTGTGTTCCTTGTTTAGTTAAATGCAGGCAATGTTTATTCACAAGTTTTCTTAACATATGTCCATTAATAGTTGAAACCACGTAAGGTTGTTTCAAGTAGGGAAGGAGGCTTCTTACTGGAATTTGACCCTGGCTCATGGGCCACAAATCCAGCCCCCCTGCTGCAGTTTTCTCAAACAACCCATGGCCAGCTTTTTCATGTGGGAGTCACAGCGCCCTTCCGCAGTCTCAAGTTGCCAAGACACCAGGCACATCAGTGTCTCTGTTCTATTGTTAACTAAATAACAGATGTACCTGCTTTTCTGTCTGCTGATTTGAATTGTACAGTTTTGTGACTCACTTCCTGCCTCGGCACCAGAATGTTAAGATTGGAAAGCAGCCCCATGTGGTGACCACTGGAACGACATCCTCGAATGTGGGAGCTCAGGGCACCTCAGAATTTATCTGGCCTAAGTCCTTCTTTTCACTGATAAGGAATCTGAGTCCCAAAGAGGTTCAGCCATACGAGGACAGAGGAAGAACTTCTGTATATGTATCTCCTGATTGATGTACAGTCCAGTTTTCTTCCTTCTGCAGCATTCTGGGGGTGAACTCTGGGGCCCTTAGAGGCTTTTGAAAGGTTTTTCACATGAGCAGCTGGGAAGAATTAATCCAGCTGCACTCCAAAGTCATGCCCCATGCGTTCTTACTGCCAGCTCCCCTGTGGACTCAAATGCACCCTAAGGGTTCTTGGGGAATATCCAGGGAGCCTGTTCAGAAGCTTTAACAATCGTTCCTCCGTCTGGAGAGGTCCTTTTCAACAACATTTGGTACAGGCTGTAAAGTGGGTAAAACTCTTTCACTTTCTTCTTCAGCAAGCATTAAGAGAGTACCTTCTCTGTTTTGGCCATGTGTGTACTCACAGCCCCTCACACACGGCCGAAACAGAGAAGGTACTTTCCTAATATTTGCCTCCTTGGAGTGTCTCAAGTCCTGGAAGCAAGAGATAATAAGCAACTAATATATAGTATGACAAGGACTGTGATAATAGAAACAAAAGGTGCTACAACAGTACATGGGCAGTAGGCATCGAACCCATACTTTGGGGGTTGGGAGGACCTCCAAGAAGAAGTGACATTAAGCTGACACAAAAGGGTGTTCTAGGCAGAGGGAACAGAATGGATGAGATAGCCAAAGTGTGATTTATGGGAAGAATTTTGGTGGGATTGTTGTGTCGTTTGCGGAGGGCATAGTGAGAAACGAACCCAGAGAAGCAGAGGCTGGAGCAGCAAAGATCTGACAAGCTGCCTTGAGGAGCTTGGCCTTTATCCTCAGTGAGAAGCTATGGAAGGGCTTTAGCCAGAGGGGTGAAGTGACCGACTCACATTTTAGAAAGAGGTTTCCGGCTACAGAGAGGAGGGTGGAATAGAGACAGGTGAGGCCGGAGCACAGACGCCATCTAGGAGCCTGCTTCGCACGGCAGGTGAGAGGAGATGGAGAAAAGTGAATTGCTTAAACATACAATGTTGATGTAACCTTTTCCCAGATTTCATCTCTGTTGGCAGAATTGGAGGCAATTCAAAGAAATTCAGCGTCCCAAAAGAGGTAACTGCGTTTTCTCATTATCCAAGTATTGGTCATAATTATGTGAGAAAATTTGATATTGCCGAGAGTTATAAATCAAGGACTGTGAGTCATGCTCAGCAGAAAGCACTGAGGTTATAGCACACATTCCCTGTGATTTCTAATTAAAATATTTGTGGTGCAAATTGAAAAGGACATCCCTACAGGATCAGGGTAAGCGAAGCATCTGAAGAAGAGTTTAAAAGTAGAAAAACATATAAAGAAAAGCAAGGGAGTGAGCAGGCTCCAGCAGTGCTGATAATGTTCCTAAGCTGGGTACTTGAATACAAGGAGTTTCATTTTGTCATTTGCTATATCTGACATATGTGCTATACACCTGCATTTGTATATGTGAAATAATTCAATATAAAAATGTAGAACTCTAATTAAGACAGCGTGGGGGCAGGGAGGAGCCTTAGCAGCCTGTTGTTCTGGCTGGCACAGGAAGGGTTGTCAGTGTCCATTTTGTGCAGGACCACAGATTTCTGGATGAGCACTAGGCCCCCAAATAAAAGAAGGCTGGAGTCATCACTTTAGTCTAGCTGCCACTTTTTTCTGACTTCATTTAGCACTAAATAAATTGTAGAAATGATCTAGAAATAACTGGAAGCATTATAATCTTCAGACATGACCTAAATGTATGCCTTCTCTCTTAGGCAGCAAAAGCCCTTTCCTTGTCAACATTTGATAACCAATCTTGAGAATGATGGGGGGCATTAAAGCCCTGCAGATGAGTCTGCGTAATCTATGTTAGGGTATTTTTTATTTTATTCTTCTTTCCAGTGTCATCGTCTCTCAGTGGACCAACATGCTGAAAGTTGTAGCATTGCACCTGAAGAAGCATGGACTGACTTATGCCACCATTGATGGCTCTGTCAACCCCAAGCAGAGAATGGACTTGGTAGAGGCATTTAACCACTCCAGAGGCCCTCAGGTACAAGCTAGTCACATCAGAGCTGCGTAATTAACTGTTCTGAGTTACATAAGAGAATTCTTTTTGTTTGTTTCATTTTTGTTTTTGGTTTTTTGAGATGGAGTTTCGCTCTTGTTGCCCAGGCTGGACTACAGTAGTGCTATCTCAGCTCACCACAACCTCCACCTCCCGGGTTCAAGTGATTCTCCTGCCTCAGCCTCTCAAGTAGCTGGGATTACAGGCTCCTGCCACCACGCCTGGCTAATTTTTGTGTTTTTAGTAGAGACGAGGTTTCACCATGTTGACCAGGCTGGTCTTGAACTCCTGACCTCAGGTGATCCACCTGGCTTGGCCTCCCAAAGTGCTGGGATTACAGGCATAAGCCACTGTGCCCAGCCATACAAAGAGAATTCTAATATGACAACTTGAAAATATTTACAGCCTTGATTCCTCCAAGTGTTTAGAATTTATTAGACATGTATTGGGGTATTTTAAAGAGCACAAATATTCTAAAAAGAATAAAATAGGCTGGGCGTGGTGGCTCAAGCCTCTAATCCCAGCACTTTGGGAGGCCAAGATGGGCGGATCACAAGGTCAGGAGATCGAGACCATCCTGGCTAACACGGTGAAACCCCGTCTCTACCAAAAAATACAAAAAACTAGCCAGGTGAGGTGGCAGGCGCCTGTGGTCCCAGCTACTCAGGAGGCTGAGGCAGGAGAATGGCGTGAACCTGGGAGGCGGAGCTTGCAGTGAGCTGAGATCTGGCCACTGCACTCCAGCCTGGGCGACAGAGTGAGACTCCATCTCAAAAAAAAAAAAGAGAATAAAATAGGAAGACTAAAAGGAGATTAAGAGCAGAGCTGGTTAGGATGAGGGGAATTTTTGTAGAGGAGGCAAGTTTTGAAGGATAGGTGGGGTTTGGGGATGAGGAAATATGGAAGGAAATGAAAGAACACAGGCATCTAATTATAGATAATAAGGATTTGGAAAGCATTAGTAGAATGATAGGCAGGAGAATTATTGTAGCAATGGAGGGGTAGGGACTGATGAAATGAACATAATCTGGTTAATTGAAAGTTTATTGAGCTGACCATCCCCAGGGTTCTAAATTACAGTATTTATATATTTTCGCAGGCACTCAGTTAATTTTTTGAAGTTGACTCACACACACACAAAATGTGATGTGAGAAATTTTCTTAAAAGTGAGACATGGGAGATAGCCTTATAATGTTTAAAAAAATTTATAACAGCAGAAGGAAATTTGATAGGAACACAGTGCTTCTCTGTATTGATCGTGGACTTAAACCTGAGACCAAGATGTGTTACGAGACCAAGTCTGTTTAACAAAGTTACTGTTGTGTTTCCTTTTGAAGGTAATGCTAATCTCTCTCTTGGCCGGAGGTGTTGGTCTAAACCTGACTGGAGGAAACCATCTCTTTCTTTTGGACATGCACTGGTAATGATTCCGGATTTGTCCTGAGTTGTCACACCACAGCAAGGAGGCCAGTGGGCTACAGGGGCAGCAGGAACTGACTTCCTATGTTGATTGCTGTGTTTGTATTGCGGAGATGCCTCGCTTTGGATCTGTCTATAGATACAGATCTAAGCAGGGTAGAGGGCTAGTTGAATCCCCTGAATTCCTGAGCTAGCAAGCCTTCAAATGACTACTCAAAATAGTTCATTCATGTTATTGTTAATCTAACATCTGTTTCCATGGAAACTAGGAGCATAGCTTTTCCTCATGGCTAATAGTTAACGTTGCTCATTTTTACCTCTTCTCCAGAATACTGTATTCCAGACATACTTGTTGGGGTTCAAGGAAATTTCAACCTTCGAAAAGAGGAAGCAGCATTACTCCAAAAAGAAAAGGAATAGGGATTTTCTAATTATGTTAGAGATATACTTAATACCTCACCCTTGGATTCATGTATGTAGTATTAATACCAGGAGTACAACCACATCTTTTGTGGCTACAAAATGAATGAGTTAGTGTGTTGCTAACAGAAAATCTCATAATTAGTACCAGTTTCTGGTTTTTTGGTTATTCCAATCAAGGACTGCTGCAACAGGCACTGTTGCTGGGGATAGTCATTGGTCTAGTTCTCCAGACAGCCCAGATTGGTACAAATAGGTCAACCTGTTATCATCTTCCGGGAGAATGGGTTTAGTTCTTACTTGGGACTCCTCTATACACGTGAGTGAAGAAAGCATACTAGGACTCATGCTTTTTTTTTTTTTTTTTTTTCTGAGATAGAGAAATGTTATCCAAGATTTTAAAGAGGTGATAGAGAAATGTTATCCAAGATTTTAAAGAGGTAAGCTGAGAAACTAATTTGGAGTTACAATGGGAATCAATAAAGAAGGAAACAAATTAAGTCTCCTTCATTGAATCACAGAATATCAAAGTTGAAAAAGGTAGCTATTCAAGATCATTAGCTAGCCCTTCAGTTTCCAAGTAGCAATCTGAAGCCTGGAGGGCTGAGCAATCTGAAGCCCAAGGACATCTAGCTACCTAGAGACCAGACCTGAGTTTTGGTTTCATCTCTGTTACTTATGAGTTGTCAACTGATGATAGCGATAAGAGCTATTATGAACACTCTGACCCTAGTTTCTCACTAGAAACTAGCCAAGAAGGTATCTGGCACCACCTTGTCTTAGGCCAGTATAACCTAGGACAAGGGTCGACAGATTTTTTTTCTTTGAGGCTTTTCAGGCCACATAGGTCTCTGTCACATGATGTGTGTGTTTTGTTTTGCTTTGCTTTCTTTTCTTAAATCCATTTAAAAATGTAACAGTAATTTTTAGCTACAAAAACAAGCTATGGACTGGATTTGGCCCATGGTCCATAGTTTGCCACTTCTGATCTAGTATGTCGGTTCCTTTGAGCTTTACCTGTCTTCTAACAGGAATCCGTCACTTGAGGATCAAGCTTGTGACCGAATTTACCGAGTAGGGCAGCAGAAAGATGTTGTCATACACAGGTAAGTAATGGTCCCCAGGACCCAGGACCCTTCTCAACTGGTACTTTGTGAAAGTCTTTCTTTGTTAGGTAGTGTCTTCATAGAATTTAAAGTATTTGGTGATGACTTGACTAATGATGCTCCTGAGGCATACCCTCAGGCAAACACCACAGTCAGGGGAAAAACGAGCAGTTTGGGGTAAGCTTGAAGTTGGTCACTGCAAAAGAAGAGCAAGTTTGTGTATATGGTGAGGGCAGTCCATGAAAGGACGCTCCTCTCTTTTATTTTTCTTTTTAACTTTTATTTTAACATAATTTCAGACACACAGAAAAGGTACAAGAATAGTACCAAAAAGTTCCCATATATTATGTGTGCATGTAGGTAGAAACACTTTTCTGGACCACTTGAGAACAAGTCATAGACCTGATGCTCCTTTGTCCCTAAGTACTTAAGTGTACATTTCTTAAAATTAAGGGAATTCTCTTACATAACCCCAATAAAATGATCAAAAGCAGGTTATTAAAGTTAACAAAACACTATTATCTGATCTACAGATCTTTTCAATCTCACTTGTCCCAGTGATGTCCTTCACAGCAAAAAAGAATCCCAGATTCTGGTAGCATGCAGTTGTCATAAGTTTGTCTCCTTTGATCTGGAACAGTACCCCAGTCTTTGTGTTTTATGACATTGACATTTTGATGAGCATGAGCCAGTTATTTTGCAAAATGTCCTCTATTTTGGACCCCCTTGTCTTTAAAAACAATGAAACCTGCCTTAATGCTGCCAATCCCCTCTCACAATGGCCCTGTTTTTCGCCTTCCTTTTCATGACCAGGTTTCCTGAAGAATTAGGAATCACTGCCTATTTTTACTTGATGACTTCCCATTCATTCCTCAACCTTTGCAAACTGGTTTTTACTCCTGTTGCTGCACTGAAATTGCTCTTGTTAAGGGGCACCAATGACTTCCAGACTTTGCCAAATATAGTGATTATGACAGTCTTCCTATGCTCTCTTCTCTGCTCATTCTGTACATTCCTTCCTTTACAAATTCCATGCACTCCAGTAAGTCCAAAATCCGTATCTTTAGTTCCAAGGTCTCCTAAACTTCAGATCTGACTATCGCAGTCCCTGCTAAATATCTGAATCCGAGCGTCCACATACTCACCTGTTATTCTTTCTTTTATTCATTGTTCATTTGAGCATTCAGCCCATAAAACATACCTTTTGAGCACCCACTATGTAGCAAGTATAACATGTTTCAGGTATTCACATGTTACAAATCAAAATTGATTTTCTCTTCCTATTACCTCAAATCTGCCATTCTTCTGTAGTCACTGTCTTTGTGAATAGTATCACTCTTTATCTAATTATATCTAGCCAGAAACTAGACTCCTACCTTTCTCGCTTTTTCATGTACCAAGTCCTTTAGTTGTATTTTCTAAATGTTTCTGATAACCATTTCTTCCTTCCCATGCCCACTGCCAGGTCCCCCCTTCCCACTCCGCTGAATTCTGTCCTCTACATCACCACCAAAGGGCTCTTCCTAACTAATCAGTCTGATTGTGTCATCCACTTCTCATATTCTTCGGTAGCTCTCACCTCCTATAGGATCAAATCAAAATGTCTTAGCATGACATACACCACCACCTGTGATCTGGCCCTGCCAGCCTCTTGAGCCTTTCCCATTGTGGACAACATGGTGAATGTGAACTTCCTCCAATACACCATGCTCTGAAACTCAGCTGTGGTTTTGCACATGTTCCCATTCCCTGGGGTGCTCTCCTCACTGCTCTCTCTGGCAAACCCTTGCCCATCATACAAGTCTCATGTTAAGAGTTAACTCTTTAATGGAGCCTTCCCTGAGTACTCTGGACACATTTCCTTTTCTTCCTTTTGCACACGGCACATACTTCCATTATAGCACTTACCAGGTCATATTATTATTGTTGTTTATTTTCATGTTTGTCTCACTTGTGTCCTGCTTCAGAGAAAGACCGTATTCATCTCTCCATCCCCACACCTAGCATAGTGTAGTGAGTGCTTAATCAATACTTTTGAATGAGTGAATGAATGACAACAGTGCCATTTACTTGGTTTGAAAACCCTGTTTTTAGTGTGAATTCACTAAAAAATAGATACTCTACTTAAACTAGCAGAAATTTGATAACCTTTGAGGCCTTATGGACTTACAAAGGTAGAACTTTTCAGGTGAAAGCTGGATCTCTATACTTTTTTGGATTGGGATATCTTTTGCTTATTCTGAGTTTTTTCAATTACCTTAGCTTCAGAAATTGTTAGAATGTCAATGTGAGTCACATCCTTTCAAAGGGACATATATCTAGTCAAGGTTGTTTGGATCCCTCAAACAGGGTTCTTAACTGGACCTAAGAAGACTTAAAGGAAGAAATCTCATTAAAAACTGAAGCATAATAAAAGTTTGAATGTATTATTAGATGTGCTGCTTTGGGTTTTTGATAGTTTGCTTATTTTTTTTTGTTTTTGTTTTTTAGATTTGTTTGTGAGGGAACAGTAGAAGAAAAGATCTTACAGCTCCAAGAAAAAAAGAAAGATTTGGCCAAACAAGTTCTATCAGGATCTGGAGAATCTGTCACCAAGCTCACCTTGGCTGACCTCAGAGTCCTTTTTGGCATCTAACCTCCCGTGGATAAGGGCTCAGAATAGCACCATTGCTGGTTTGTATTAGGATCTAGGAATAACAACCTAATCATGAGCCTTGAACTCTGTTCTCTGCATTTCAATTTCACCATTAAGCCTTTCACCTTCCTCAAAATGAGGCATAATCTTTTCCCCAGAATTGAGGAGGGGTTATGTTAGCCAATTAGTTAACCAGTTATGTTAATACGTCAATTTATTTAATGAGTGGTATGGAAACCATTTGATTGTTTTAGATAAAAGAAAATATTTTAGAGTTGGATGATTTTGGAAAACAACTCTGGCAGAATTGTACATAAGCTTCGGTAAAGTTCAAAAAGCGGGCCAGGTGTGATGGCTCATGCCTGTAATCCCAACACTTTGGGAGGCCGAGGCAGGAGGATGGCTTGGTTCAAGACTAGCCTGGGCAACACAGTAAGACCCCATCTCTATGAAGAATAAATAAATGAGCTAGGCGTGGTAGAGCACACCTGTAGTCCTAGCTACTTGGGAGGCTGAGGCAGGAGGATTTCTTGAGCCCAGGAGGTTGAGGCTGCAGTGAGCTGTGATTGTACCACTGTATCCCAGCCTGGGTAATATAGTGAGACCCTGTCTCAAAAAAAAGAAAAAAAAGCTCAAAAACTTCTGTGTTGCCTATCTCTTCTTAGCTGATGATGGGAGAACCACTGTTACTACCTTCTCTAACACAGGCTCCATCCTATCTCTTCATCTCTTCTTGCCAATGATGTTGCTCCTGTAACCATCTTTTTGTGGGTGGAGCAAAGAGTTGATCCCTGCAGCCACCCTGCAACCAGCCATCTCTGCAGTTCTCTCAGTGCAGGCAGTTCTTCCTCTCAGACTGAAGGTCAAGGAGATGCTTTGTACATGAACAGATGTTGAGTATCTGTATCATTGTATTGTTTAGTGTCAGTGTATCATTTAGTGTTTGCATCACTGTATCATTTAGTGTTGTGTATCACTCAGTCATTTAATATTGGTTATCACCATATCGTTTACTATCATTTGGTTCATTGTATCATTTAGTATTTCTGTTATATCATTTCTATTACATGTAGTATTTGTATAATATTTGTGTCATTTTTAATAGTATTTGTATTTTTACAAATTTACAGTATTTGTAGCATTTAGTATCATTGTTTCATTTAGTATTTGGTATAATCTAATAAATACTAATCCAGTCCGATACTAATCCAATCCAATACTAGTAATACTATTGGTACAATCCAATACTAATAATACTAACAGTAGTATTGATATAATCTAATAAATAATGTGTTTGACAGTGTAGCAGAAATAAGGCTATGTGTTCATCAAACCCATTTCCTTTTCCTCCTGGGCACCCAGAGAGACTGTATTTCCATCTTGGCTGCAGTTTGATGGGGTCCGTATCAATGGACTGTGGAGAGAAGTGATGTAAGTCACTTCTAGGCTGCCCTCTACCACTTTTCAAAAGATCATTCATGCTGTTTCTTCCCTCCTTAGCCTATGGGATGCAAAGGAACTGATGGAAGATTACAAGGCCCTAGGGAAGGTGAAGCCACTAGCTCAGCAGTTCTTAGCCTAGTTTTTGGCCATCAGCCCTTCTATTAGACTAGTAAAGCCTCAGTCCTGGATGGCTTCCCCATGTGCACTTCCCCCCTTGCACCAGCTCACCTCCACTGGACTATGACATGATCAAGGAATCTTTTTTTTTAAGCTACTGAGATTTTTGTGTTGTTTATGTAGCAGTTTGTACCCTAATACAAACACTTGAGATTTTATACTTCAGGAAACTATTCAGATTTCCTTCTTCTCATTAGCAATTATTCCAAAAACACTTACTCTGCTAATTTCTGCTAGAAAGAATCACAGTTCTTCTTACATAGAAATATTTCTCTCCCTTGAGTTGGGAAACAAGAGCCTGTTAACCCAGTCACAGTGTGGACTGAGGCATTCGGAGCCTGTTCAAGCAGAGGTTTTATATAAAGACAAGCTCTAAAGGCTTACAGAGGTAAAGACAATGGCCTGGTTGGAAGAATTATAGTCTAGAACTGAGACTTGACTCCAGTTCTAGGCTCATCTTAGCTGGGTGTGTAACGTTGAAAAAAATTGGCCAAATGCAGTGGCTCATGCCTGTCATCCCAGCACTTTGGGAGGCTGAGGCAGGTGGATCATGAGGTCAAGAGATCAAGACCATCCTGGCCAACATGATAAAACCCTATCTCTACTAAAAATACAAAAATTAGCTGGGCGTGGTAGCATGTGCCTGTAGTTCCAGCTACTGGGGAGGATGAGGCAGGAGAATCGCTTGAACCCGGGAGGCGGAGGTTGCAGTGAGCTGAGATCGCGCCACTGCATTCCAGCCTGGCGACAGAGTGAGACTCCATCTCAAAATCAGTCAGTCAATCAATCAATCCTCACTTTCTCTACATTGTGATTTCCTCATTTGTAAGGTGGGCAGTTTTCAGAACTTAGCAGCAACAAGGTTTCTGATAAGAAGCAAAGGAAGTAATATTGCCTTTTTGAAGTTTTGCTATAAGATCGACACACCAAGGTAAAGATTGAGTCACTTGAGAAGCAGTGGCTCCCAGGCCAGCAAGAATGTACAAACCTGGCTCTGCCATTTGCTAACTGAAATTAGGCAAGTTGCAGATTCCTTGGACATCTCAATCCTTTCATCTGTAAAATGTGTGGATTATCATGTATCTCATGCTCTGCTGGGAATATCATAGCAAATATATATACTATAACATGTTTGACCAGATAGATCAGTAATGTCAACTAGAAGGTGTTGGACGAACATTGTCAGTCTCCAGTCAAGCACTGTTTAGGGGAGAGGAATTCTTTCAGGCTCAAGCATTCTGGCTTTTAGTTTGGAGAGGGATGCAGGGATTGTAACCTACAATCTTCAGATATTGAGGCCATTGACAAGTAGTCTGCTGCAAGGTAGATGCCTCCTGGTATTTTAAAACAGCTTCTCTCATTTCCCTTGTTATTGTACGCAAGCAAAGCAACCTAGTTATGTCTTGGGTAGGTGTTCTCATAGCCTGTAAGATGCTATTGATTTGATGTGGATGCAGAAAAAAATGGAACCACTGCCTTAATGGAATGGAATATACCAAACATGCATTCTTAAATCCTAGTGCTGGGATGGAAATGTCTCATGAATTAACAGAAGTGGCATTCTGGTATTAATATATCCTACCTCAGGCTCATATTCATTTTAGTGTAAATCAGTTTCTTAAAGTCTAGGTATGACAGGGTGGGTCACTGTACCTTCTAGCGATGGACAGCATCCCACAACATAGTGATCTAACTGAAGTGCTGCACTGAGTCCTGCCTGTGTCAACCGCCTTCCTTTATGTCACACGACTGCTGCTGGATTTGCTTTTTACATCTGCCTGTTGCACCTGATTTGGTCATGGATGATATGAGGTAATAAATGCTTTGAAAACCATGGAGGGCCACACAAGTGCTAGTGTTATTGCTGTGGGACAAGGTCTGGGAATATGAGAACCAGCAGCAGCATGGGTGCAGCTGAGAGCCAAATGGTGAACGTCTGTCACCAAAGTGCAACATTCCTGAGCACCGGATTTACAAGGTATTTCTTACTCGACAGAACTGACTTCATGGAAGGTTTGTAGTTTGACTTTGCCTTAGCCATGTTGATCAAATAGGAGTATGGTGCATGCCACAGCTGGGCAGAGTCCTGGGTCCTTCAACAACCTCGTCAGTGACTCCCATTGCAGGCCCACTGCAGTGGCTCACAGCTGTAATCCCAGCATTTGGGAGGCCAAGGTAGACAGATCACTTGAGGCCAGGAGTTTGAGACCAGCCTGGCCAACATGGCAAAACCATCTCTACTAAAAATACAAAAGTTAGCCAGGCGTGATGTTGGGCACCTGTATTCGCAGCTACTTGGGAGGCTGAGGCAGGAGAATCACTTGAACCCAGGAGGCAGAGGCTGCAGTGAGCTGAGATCACACCACTGCACTCCAGCCTGGGCCACAGAGGTAGGCTCTGTCTCCCAAAAAAAAAAAAAAAAAAAAAAAAAAAAAATTCTCTTTATAGGAGGTGACTTATTTCTCTAGCAATCCTGTGAGTGATTTAGCATGGCAATTCATGAACACTGAGTTGTTTCTTTGCTCTGATTGTCTTTTGCTCAATGAAATGGCTTTTAGGAGGGCTCAAAGGTGAAGCCAGATTCTCCTGCACTAATAGGATAAGCATGGAGACACCAGTGCTCAGTGTGGCCTCTGGTTGTGTGAAATTTCACTATCGACTATAATACCTTGAAAGAATTAGGTTTCCAAAGTGGGATATTGTACTGCTGTTTGTTATATAGCATTTAGCCTTAGGAAAAGGGCAGGAAAAATTTAAAAGCACATCCGTAGGCACAAAGAGAATTATAATAGAAATTCAGAATTCCTAGGCATACGACCTAGACTAAAATGTTTTCATAACTAAAAATGAAACCAAGGTCATTTATAGTACAAAGTACCACAGAAGTCAGTAGTTAGGGGATGGAGATAGATATGGAAAAGCAGAAAAAAAAAAAAAAAGCAAAACCCAGCCTAACCCCCAGGGAGGGAAGAGGGGAGACAGACAGGCAGCTACACAATGTTTTTACTATCTTGAGTTCTTTTTTCCCAGATTCCATAGCTAAATCCAAATGTATTAATAGGTAGAGACTACCTAAGGAAGGATGAGACTATTTTCTTGCTTATTCATACAGTAATTCAGAAATGTATATTGCACACTTTCTATATGCCAGGCACTGGTGGGCACTGGAAATACAAAAGCAAGCAAAACTGAAAAACTATCCTGTCCTCCTGAGGCTTAGCATCTAAGGGAGACAGGCATTAAGCAAATAACCCCGCGTGGCTGTGAAGCAGCCATGATGCTGAGTGAGTGCTACAAGAGACGACTGTGCAGCTGGGAGGGCTTATAACAGGATTGGAGCTAGTCAGGGAAGAGCTGAGGAAGTGATGAAAGAATGGAAATCAATATGTAGGAGCTAACAAGGCAGAGTGAGATGCCTCTTCCTATACTGTATCCTGCTTCTAATGAGCATCCACTTCACTGAACCACGTCTTCATTGAGCCAAACCTACCACACAGGGATACATTCTCTAGAGGAAAGTTGAGCAACTGTTGCATTTTGGACATTAGAATATGGGTGGGCTGACAGGTATGTGTATGTTTATTATCCAAGACAGCCAAATTGTTTATCCTGTTGCAACATCCCAGGGGACAGAGGCTCTTATTTGTGACTCTTTTTTCTTACCTGTAACACCAGAGGCATAAGTTACATCATAATGCTGCATCTTGTTGATGCTTCAATGCTCACAATTCAAAGGTGATTTCTGAAGCACTTTTTTACACAGGGGACAGCTACTCAAATCCTCCCACTCTTTTTTTGCCTCACCTTGGAGTCTTGGGCTCTCTTGATCACTGACTCTGCCATTTCCTTCAGCAGGCAAGACAGCTCAGTTAAATTGGGTTTGGACTTCACTGTAGTACATGCATGAGACAGTGCTCCGATCCCCAACAGCCACACACAAACTTTAAGTATTTGTAACAGAATTGTTACCATTAATATTGCTTAAAGGCTAACACATTAGCCAGTACCTAGACGTCTTATGGAAATTTTCTATTGCAGTGTTACTTCATCTACATAAAGTTGTCCAATCACTGAAACCTTCTCCAACTGAAATAAATGGTAAGCTTTTTGTTCTCAATTCTGAAATCGGATTCGTTAAAAGGCACATGGGGAAAGATGATATAATACAACAGGCTTCTTCATGGCAAGCAATTCCCTAGATGAGGTAATTGGAAAATTCAAGGCTGGTCTCTCAGGTGCATATAATTTATCCAACAGGCTTGGGATAAGGCTGCTTCTTTTCCAAGTGGTATTTGTTTAAATTACAAATACTGAGGTTTGGGAGAAGGGAAGTCTGGCTTATAAAACAGATACCAAGGAGATCCAAACTAAAAATTCTACCAATTAGATCTTTATTCACTGATCATAATATGAAGTCTCTACTATCTGCCAGGAACTGTCCTACATGGGGACAGAATGGTAGTTTAAAACTATCAAATCCCTGCCCTCATAGAGCTTACAATCTTGCATGAGAGGACAGACAACAAACAGAACATACGTATGTTGGCCTGTAATCCCAGCACTTCGAGAGGCTTGAGATGGCCAGGAGTTTCTGAGACCAGCCTGGGCAACATGGCAAAACCTCGTCTCTACAAAAAATGCAAAAAATTCACCAGGCATGGTGGGGTGTGCCTATAGTTCCACCTACTTCGGTGGCTGAGGTGGGAGAATCACTTGAACCTCGGGAGGCAGAGGCTGCAGTGAGCCAAGATCGTGCCACTGCACTCCAGCCTCGGCAATGGAGAGAGAAAGAGATCCTGTCTCCAAAAACAAAAAAACAAAAAAAAAACAAACCACAAAACATATACATATATGGGAGATGGCGATGAAACTGGGCAACTCTGGGGTGGGAAGTTGCTATTTTGTACAGAGTAGTTAATAGGGTGATATTTGACACTGGAGTGGGAACTTGAGAGGAACATGAACCATGAAGGTATCTGTGAAAAAAGCATTTCAGATGGAGGGGCAGTGATTCAGGCCCCAAGACAGTGCGTGGAGAGTTTGAGGAGCACCAGGCAGGCCAGTTTGGCTGGAACAGGGTGATGGAGGCGGATGGGTGGGCAGTAAGAGCAGGGATCCAGATCATGTGGGGTCTTACATGCTGATGTAAAGGCTCGCTTTTCTGAGATGCGAGGCCAATGGACAGTGGTGAGCAAAAGAGTGACATAAGCTGACATGTTTTAAAAGATTTCTCTGATATTGGGTGGTCAAAAAAGATAAAGGTTGGGAATTGAACACTGGATTCTGTAACCTGGAGTTTACTGGTAACCTGGACAACAGCTATTTCAGTGGAGTCTTGAGGATGACTGACTGACTGGATTAGATCGTACAGAGAATGGGAGGGAAACTAGAGATACCAAACAACAATTCTTTTGAGGTCCTTTTAAAGAGGAGCAGAAAAGGGGGGAAGTTGCTAAAGCAGGTTGTGAATTTCTTCTTGAAAACTCAGCCCTAACACCCAATGCGACTCTATTTGGAGAAAGAACCTTTAAGGAGGTGATTAAGGTTAAATGACCTCATGTGGGTGGGGTCCTAATCCAATAGGTCTGGTGTCCTTATATGAAGAGACACCAGGAGCACATGCACACAGGAGAAAGGCCATGTGAAAACAGAAGGCTGCCATCTGCAAGCCAAAGACAGAGTCCTCACCAAAAAACAACCCTGCCAGCACCTAGATTTTGGACTTCCAGACTCCAGAACCGTGAGAAAACTAGTTTCTGTTGTTTAATCCACCCAGTCCATGGTATTGTTATGGCAGCCCTAGCCAACTAATACAAAAGGGAAACTTGTATTTGAAGAGGGGATATTGTACCATATTTATTTTCTGAAGTAAGCAATCTGGTAGAGGGGGAAATTACTGAAGCAATGTTCTCGGGCAATAGCTACAGAATGGGATTTAGTACACGGGATAGAAGTTGGCTCTTGATAGGAATTTGGATAGATGTGTACATGTGGTAGGGAGGTTAGGGAAATTCTCCTCTGAATCCTTTTATATTCTTGGTGAAATAGGAAGCAAGGTCATAAGTACAGAGTAGAGGTGGGGTAGAAATTGGAGTTTGAGGGGAAGAAAGTATGAATTGTCTAGAAGCATGGGAGAATAAATGGACTGGGGAGATGTTTCAGGTTATCGGGAAATGCTAAGGCCCACTGAAATTAGTGGTCATAAATTTAAAGTGAGGCTACTCATCACGGTTTTTTTTTTTTTTTTTTCTTAGGATCATTCAGTTGGGTTAGATGGAAAGCTGGATCTAACTCGGGTTGGAGTTTTGCCAGGCAAGAATGATAGAGGGAGACTATGCAATAGAGTGATTATAGTGATGGTCTGTAGAATCTAAGCTGGGAAGGATGAAGGGAAGGACCTGAGGTGGGTGAGAGGAACAACAGGAAGGTGGCAGAATCACTGCATTGTGGATTCCAAAGAGGTAGACGAATTAGTAGTCAGGTTATTACAGTGGGTGAGCTGGAAAGGTGGGAGGTTGTGGTCGCAGGATGCCTGAAACTAAGACTATGCAGAGTGTGCAGTTGGAATCAAGATCTAGGATATGTAAGGCTAAGTAGGGAAAAAATAACATTGGGGAAATGGTCACAGAACTAAGAAGTCTGTGTAGACAATGAGTTATCCCAAGATTGATAAGGAGTTGTACCGGAGTCATAGCAAGCTCAATGCTATAATCTTCAAGGAATGAAGGGGAACAATTTGGGGCTCAGTAGATGGCTGAACCATGGAGGAACAGCAAGCTGTATAGCTGAAAGGCATGAGCTCCAAGGCTGGCCATTTTTAGGAAAAAAAATATG